GTTGTCAATCTGTTATTTACAGCCTCCTCCATTCACAGCCACTTTTTAGTTTGTTCATGTATAGATATTATTTCTTACTTCTGGTATTATGCGATCTGGTTTATTTGTAGATAAATTAATTCGGATTGAAACATAAATACAGTAGAAGCTGGCTTTTGACTTCTGAACTCAAGAGCATGGTAAAGATAAACTTGAGAATCATGAGCCAATAGGAATCTAGCTACTCACTCAAATCTAATAGACGATGCGAACGTGTAACTGTTCGAATCAGTGACGTAATTAATTCAATGAACTGTACCTCAGAGAATAGCTGTAGAGTTCGAAATTCACATCTCGTTTGTGTTTAAATGAAGTTGAAGTCTATTTTTACAGCTCTTTTTTAATACTATTTTTATGTTTTTCTAACGATACTGAAAACAATATGACCATTATCTATCTTTCAGAAGCCAGTCATAAGTTATGTCATTTTTGTTATAAGAAGAAAACCATAATATCACGGGAACTGATATGTATATAAGAAATTACTACATTTAATGATGAACAAAAATGAGACGATTAAATAGAAATGGTGAAGGACGAAATACCATATCTATCGATCAATGATTAATCAGTTGACGGATGTTTATTTTTTGTCTTGAAAAATTACTAATACATACGTGAAGAAAGTCATCCTTTTGTCTCTACAATCATGAACAGTTATAGAAAACAAAAGCCTAAACAATGTGGTTTTCATAAAACGAATGTGACTCATAAATGAATATCTTTTAATAATTAAGGTTTTGGCTAAAAAAATCAGTTACACTGGCCAAAACAACTATTTAGGCGAAAGTAGTTATAATTAGTAGTCTGAGAAAAGAGAAAAGACATATGGAAATGAATTAATCAGAAATCATGCAGATCTAAATTTAGTGTTGTACAAATTAGAGTGAGAAATAAGTATGAAATAAGAGTTATTTGTTACAAAAGAATTTACAAAACCAGTTTTTTAGATGTGCTTTTATCAATGTGTTGATAAACTGTTAGCTTATTTAGTCAAAAGTAAAATTTTTTCATGATCATTCAAAATGCATAATACTTGGAGTTTCAAGTGCAAACTCTGTGATTGTTGGTTTATGTTTTTTACTGATCATCCTTTAAAGGAATGAGTGATGTTTTACTGTAGCATTGATGCAACTGATTTACCAGGTCTAAACAAGTATTGATGATGTGGTCAATGACCGATGGCGCGCTGTGAAAGTAATCGTCTGCGAAACGTGATCATGCTTTTTGTCAAGCATTTAGTCAATTATTTCTATCCGTTGGTTATGCTCAGTTGTATGATTTTGCAAAGTTATTGGTGAATAAATGCTGAGTACTGCTCAGTTCTGGCTGTTAATCTTATTGTAAATAAATCATATAAAATGTAGAGTATTTGTGTATCATTTTGACTTATTATGCGTCACCAGTGTCTGTGAGGTCCCAATACAAAGTGTAAGCCAGTTAAGTACCTAGCAGATTATGCTTTTGTTATATTAACTGTCAACAGCTGTGTCTACTCAATGCTGACCGAAAATGTCTTGTTCATATTGTTGAAATTACTCTCAAATCATAATGATTGATGATTTCAATCTGTAAAGACACCAATCTCCATAACTCTAATTGAAAAATCGTAAACTGTGCTTACTGGTGACTAGCTTCGTGAGAAAATCCGCGAGGTTCTAGTGAGAAGACGTCACCACTGGAATTCAACCCTGTCGGGTGTTCGCAGTAACTGCCAAAGACAAATGAGTAGGGTCGCGCAAAATCCCTAGATTGATCAGAGTTAGACCTTAACACCGTCCGTTGCTGGCCCAGTGGTCCAGAATTTAGGCGTTCACGCGCAAGACCTAAGGTCCTGGGTTCGAATCCTGCGAGGTGTAGGAATCGTGGATGTGTACTGCTGATGAGTCCCATACCAGGAAGTGAACAGCCTTCCAGGCTTCTAATGGTGGTCCAACATTGATTGGTTGATGATTTCAATGTATAAAACCACTAATATCTAGAGGTCTAATTGAAGAAATAAATATTACAACACTTAGTTGTTAAAACTTAAGTATTGATTTAGTTTCAGAAAGCTATAACTGTTTGTCAACTGCCACCAGACCGTGAGTGTGTCAATTTATTGTAGGAAGATCTGAAGGGCAGATGGGTAAACGCTGACCTGATTCTTTTCAGAGTGAAATAACCACAAGTAGGAAACCTAGACGTTCTAAAGGCTTTCAATCAGATGGTGACTTATTAAGATTGATCGCTTTTATTTAACTATAAAATTTTGAATCTAATTTGGTATTTAAAAATTTCTAAACAGATTTTGAATTTGTCTGATCAATAAAGATACTAGTTACTAAAATTAAGATTTCAGTGTTTGTATTGTCTGAAACAAATCATTTACTCCCACGCACTTTTGTCATTCCCACTAAAGTAGTTGTGTACACTTGAAGCTAGACACATCGATAGATCTTAGATACACAGCAACCTAGTTTTGTTGACATATAACCTATACTACGCACGAATTTATAGCTTTTTTTTGGCATGCTAATCATCTATTGTGAGGTACAATTTCCTTCTATTTATATTGCTAACGCCTTTGAATCGACTAAACTCACTGTGTAAATGCCTCACTTACGAACTTAATCAAGTGCTTTATAGTGCATCCCCAGTGAAGTTGAATTTTAAGCAGTGCAGTTAATACATCATAATCAGCTTATGACAGTTTATTTTGTGTCGTAAGTATCATAACGTGGGACATAGTCGTTTTCTTTCAGAATGACACATAAAGCTCGATCAATCCGTGCGTCACTGGAATTTTACATAAACTGAACTAAACTACTGACCATATGTTGGTTTACATATAATTACGACTACCACTACAAAATAAATCCAATTTTGTTTTAAATATTATAAGCAATAGGCAGTTTGAGATTATATGTAACAAGATAATCCACGTAAAATTACAATTATTTACCAAGCAAGATAAAGTTGATAACTAGTAACCCAGGCAACCTGTAAGAGTTATGGCCCTGAGTTTCCACTAAGTCATATGTGATTTAATAGAAAGTTCCAGAGTTGCGTGTAACCAAAAGTACATTATAAAAAGCTTCTATGAAAACGATGGTTATTTACATTATGTCTGAGATAGTCTCAGATATTGAAATGTAAATAATCCCAGTCTTTCACTCAACAAAGCTATCCAAGCTTCAACAAAAAAGCATCTATATGTGTTTAAGTGCTTATTTTCTGTATATCAGGATCACTAGGTTTTCCATGTGAAAATTGTTCTCAATGTAAAAGTGATTGTGTATGTGTCCATTTGTATGTTATCAATTTTAAAAGCCAAAAAAATTGCTCTGACTACGACCAACGACAAGTGAATCATTTTTGCTTATGATTACATTAGTGATACATTTCAGTACACTAATCTAGTAAAAACAGACGTAAATTCCAATATGATCGTAGATAAATCTAAACATGACCGATAAATGAATATTTTTGTTAGGATAAAGCTCTGACTGACAAAGTGTGGATGGGTTATATGGTTCGTATGATTGATAAGAGTACCAGAGCAAATCTCTCAAAGCATTCAACATATATGCATACTTGTGACTGTGACTTTTAATAATAATAATAATAATAACTAACACTTATTTATTATTATTTTATGCATTTCCATTTCCTTTTATCAGTCTACTGTGATAGCGTCAACGGTCATTTCCTTTCAAAAGATATCGTCAGCTTACTGTTTTATCTCCTATGGTCATTTTTTCATGTTAAATCATTTCGAGTGTAGTAAACCCACTTTTATGAAGAGAACGCGATTGGTTTAATAGAAAAATCCATTAGTATAACCAATTGTACCAGCGACTGTTTTACTATACTTTTTGTCTATAACTACTTTTGTACTCGCAAACTTACCGTTTGTGTTGTTGCCTTTTTGGCTCCATTGTCTCTATAACTTCACACACATTTTCTGGCACGATTTCGGTATTCTTTCGATATCACAGAGTCGCCATCAAATATATTCTTTACTATGAAATAATCCTTCTTCTCGGTGACGGGCTCATAATAAGTGTTTAGTAGTGATTATAGTCAGCTGCGACTTGACGCGCCATTACAAGCGTATAATGTGTTCCCATATAATAAGGAATTACACTGAATGTTCATTCAGGTCGTTATGACGAACATTTTAGTTTTTCAACAATCGATATCTCTCCCAGATGTTCCATTGTATTAAGATTTGCTCAATGTTGAAGTGGAATACTTCCACGAAGAAAACACAATTGGTGAAAAGGAAACATTGATTATTATACTCCTTTTGCTTAACTGTACTAAAAACACTTACTTAAGTGCAACTTTCTGTTTCACGTTGCTTCCATCACTCATAACATGCTGCTTGTTATGTAGCCAACTTTTTCCTTCAAATATATTCTTTACCCTGGATTTATTTGTATTTATTGTGGTGATCATAATTAATCTCGACTAGATCACCACTAAAATGTCATTAACAAAAGGTTTATAATGTTATGTATCATGTCATTTTTATTCTTACGTTACTTCCGCTGTAACACACTTTTTACATTACCATTAATATGTTTACTGTATTAAGTAATTATTTTACCTTGAAGTACTATTCAGTTTTCTTAAATATGGCCAACTTATTCTTATATGTCAAAAGAATTGTATGCGATAATTTTAATTTAATTGGAATATTTATTTCATTAACCAAGTTATGTGATATGACCGAAATCGGAACATAATTTGATAGAAATGTCATAAGAAGTTTTAATTTTTTTCATATTATCTTACACAAAAAAAAACTTGCTTTCGACTTAAAGGTGACCTTGTTTATTGTTGTGAACTAGTAATTATTTCAGGAAACGAGATAACCATCGATCTCTGAGTTGGCTGTTTAAAATGAATAATCTAATCCAAAGCAAACGTTCACGTTTGATTTGGATTAGATTATTCAAATCAAACGTTCACGTCCCGACCGAAGCTGCTACCTTGACGTGGTGGTCGGGCTTGCCTATCGTGATGACCCAACCGAGCTATACTGGCTGGAACATATGTTCCTGCAGGTCCTACCATGCCAGGCTGGTCGATTGGAGAACGATGTGACTAAAAGCAGCTACCCAAGGTCTGAGGGCGAAGTCGTACTGCTGACTGCAGAGGGGTGTGACAGCAGTAAGGTATTTCCCTCGGACAACCAGCATCTGCAGCGATGCTGCCTTCTCACAAGGAAGGAAGGGTTAGAAAAGGTCGGCCCTAAAAATGTCACACCTCCCCTAACTCACGGATTTCCGTCTCCCTGGGTAAGGGTGCCCACTGGGCCTTTAAGAACGGAGCTAATCCTCTAAATACCTCTCATAAAAAGGCCGTGCGTGACCGGCCTGAAGCAGTTGTCCCTTGGACTCTGCGGTCACGCACCAACACTAATCCATCTTCCTTTTCAGGTCCCTCAAGAAACAACCTTCCACGGTGTGGGCAGCCGGGAAGTGACAACCGCCCTCATACCCGTACCAGCATGCGAGGCCAAATTGTTCAAAATCAAATCCTTCCTACACCCCCTAATGTCTCTCTTATCTCTACGACTAACTGTACTCACACTCCCTTTTCTCACTGCACCGCTAATGCAGACGAAGCGAGATCACGAAACGTCGTTCCTGGTCTCTTGAAACCCCGTTCTAGACTACATATTGGAGCTTTTAATGTACGGACATTGTGTCAAATAGGGCAACAGGCATCATTAGCTAGGACTTTAGAATCTCGTGCCATCGATGTATGCTGCGTCTCGGAAACGCGCATACAGGATCCTAGTAAAATTATTAACCTGATTTCACCTTGTCAAAATAAAGAAGCAGCTCGATTTACTCTTCGTGTATCCGGTAGCCCTGATGCTGCTTCCAGGGGTCTTGCTGGCGTAGGCATAGCGTTGAGTCCTAGGGCAGAATTATCTCTCCTTGACTGGATCCCAGTAGATAGTCGTTTGTGCGCTGTCCGACTAAACGGGACAGTAAGGACTCGTAAGGATAGGGACACTCGCCGTTGCCTCTTCGTCATATCTGCCTATGCCCCCACTGACTGCAGTGCAGACGAGGTTAAAGATGAGTTTTACAGAAAGCTTTCGGACCTCCTCCAAAAAGTTAAGCGCTCTGATATAGTTATAATGGCTGGTGACTTTAATGCTCAAGTAGGTAGACTAGGTGAAAAGGAAAGACATCTTGGTGGATGTTATGGTGTAGCGACTGAGAGAACAGACAATGGCGACCGTCTGTTGCAACTATGCTCAGATAACCGCCTATTCTTAGCGAACACCAACTTTAGGCATAAGGAAAAGCATCTGTTGACCTGGCGACCTCCAAAGTCATCTCAACGTTGGACTCAACTAGATCACATCGCCATCAGCCACCGATGGAGGGGTTCGATAGAAGACTGTCGCTCGTTCTGGAGCACATGTTTGGATTCAGATCATGCTCTAGTGCGAGCTCGTATCTGTTTAAGGCTTACTGGACGTAGGAAAGACACCGTAAGGAAGCCTCTTAGGGTTTTACTTAATGATAATCAAACCAAGAAAATATTTCAGGAGCAACTAGAAAGAGAGTTAAGCAACCATGCAAGCGATTCCCATCCAGAAACAGGTTGGTATGATATCAAAAAAGCTGTGGAAACAGCAGTGATATCTGCTAGTAAGGTAAACCATGAGGCTAGGATGAAGCCGTGGATTTCAGTCGCATCCACCGAACTGATGGATGCTCGAAAACGCATCCCACCTGACTCTGAGCATGATGAAGAGCGTAGTCAGCTTAGGCGCAGACTTATAAAAAGTCTGCGTAACGACCGCGAACAGTGGTGGGTGGCAAAAGCAAAAGCGATAGAAAAGGCAGCGGCGATCGGCAACACTAGACAACTTTTCCGACTTATCAAGGAAACTGGTATTAAGAACCCGAATGTGAGTGAGACTATCTCGGAAAAGGATGGTCTTATTATCCATTCTCAATCCAGGAGACTGGATCGATGGGCAGAACACTTTAGGGATCAGTTCAACTGGCCACGAGCCACTCTTCGGTTACCCACGATCTCCAGTCATCCTGAATGGCAAATCGACGTAAGTCCCCCTAGTCTTAATGACGTTGAGAAAGCGTTAGGAAATCTGAAACGAGGACGAGCTGCAGGTCCTGATAGACTGATCCCTGAGATATTTAAGGATGGTGGTCCAGTTTTAGCAGCTAGGTTGACTGAGATCTTAGGTAGAATCTGGGAACTGGACGTAATCCCATCCGACTGGTCTCAATCCTTGATTGTCCCAATCTATAAGAAAGGACAAAAGTCTTCTTGTGACAATCACAGGGGAATAAGTCTAACTAATATAGTATCTAAAATACTGGCCTCAATAATACTTCGACGCTTAACGAAAGCTCGTGAAGAGCAGACTCGAGAAAACCAGGCTGGTTTTCGACCTGGACGTGGTTGTATAGACCACATTTTCACGCTCAGACAGGTCCTGGAACATAGACACACATTTAGGCGTCCTACAGTAGTTGTTTTCCTAGACATTAAGGCGGCATTTGACTCTGTGGATCGTGAGGTTCTGTGGGAGTGTCTGTCATTGAAAGGTGTACCACAGAAGTACATTAAACTCATACAAGCTCTTTACTCGAACACCACTGGTCGAGTGAGAGCTTATGGCGAACTGTCACCGGAATTCTCTACATCAAGTGGTGTCCGTCAGGGATGTCCACTTTCTCCATTCTTGTTTAATTTTATCATAGACATGCTCCTAGACATAACATTATCCTCGTCTGAATTTTCAGGAGTAGACCTTCTACCAGGTGGCTCGCTTATTGACTTAGAATATGCCGATGACATTGTCCTACTTGGTGAAGACGCTGACAAAATGCAGAGTCTTCTGACTACCCTAAGCAACAATGCAAGCATGTTCGGGATGCGGTTTTCCCCCTCGAAATGCAAAATGTTGATTCAAGACTGGGTTGCATCGGCACCTGAACTAGTGATAGGGAGTGAAGTAGTCGAACGTGTAGACCGCTTCACTTATCTGGGGAGTCTCATCAGTGCCGATGGCCTGGTGACTGACGAAATCTCAGCACGGATACAGAAGGCTCGATTGGCTTTTGCCAACCTGCGTCACTTATGGCGTAGGCGAGATATCCGTTTGCTGACTAAAGGACGAGTGTACTGCGCAGTAGTTCGCTCCGTCTTACTTTATGGCTGTGAAACATGGCCAGTGAGAGTAGAAGATATTCGTAGGTTAATGGTTTTCGATCATAGGTGTCTTCGAAGCATTGCTCGTATATCGTGGGACACCCGAGTGAGCAACGCTGTTATTAGGAATCGGGTGCTAGGTAAGAATGGCAGATCAATCGATGAAGTATTGAAACTTCACCAGTTGAGGTGGTTGGGACATGTGTTGCGTATGCCCAACCACCGGCTGCCTCGTCGAGCCTTGTTTTGTAGTGTAGGAATAGGTTGGAAGAAAGTTAGGGGCGGCCAAACGAAAACATGGCAGAAATCCATGAAGTCATTGACTAGTGGACTGAGCCATGTTGGTAATTGTCGACTACCTGGTTGGGGTCCGCGAGATGATAATAATCGATGGTTAGAGACCTTGAATGACATGGCTCAAAATCGTTCGCAATGGCGCCGGTGCATTTATTCTCTGTGTTCTCTCAAATCCTAATCTTCTGGACTCATCAACCCCTCTAGTTTCGACTCTCTAAACTTATCTCACTGAATCATACTTCTTGAATAGTATCTTCTAATCCTAACCTCTCCGATTATTTCTAATTCCCTTACTACCTCTTCTACTATTGGATTTGAATTGACGATTACTTCTCTGTGCTGATGTGGTATGGCAACATGAACTGATGTACTTATGTACAAAGTTCTACGTTGCATCTGACTGACTGACTGAAACGTTCACGTACATTCCATAAAACAAACTATCGAAATCAATCACATTTATCCAATAAAAAAAATCAAACAGGGTCATTAACTACGCACAAAAGTTAAATTCATACACTCCAGTGACAAAGATCAATAATTATTCCGTCTGAATCTAAGACATTGAAACATCCAAACCAGTAATGATTATTATGTCATACTTCCAACTAAAGTGGTCTAGCTTGAATTGGAAATAATAACCAACACATTTGTCTTAGTCATATGAAGTGAAAGTGCTCTGTTTATTATATACAAAATTGATCAACATAAAGTCTTAATGTCATACTTCATTTGTGAACATTTGTCTAATTTCTATGGTGATTTATAACTAACTTTTTGGAAAGTTCAGCACTATGACTGACTAGGAAAGCTTCATTTATATATGTATTGTTGCATGTTTTTCTGGGTCATAATGCACTCGTAGATTAGTTTCAGTTAAACATACACAGTATTTGTTAACTAGTTACACAGTCCTATGTACTTATGTTTTCTAGTTAGTATTATATGACCTTATAAGTTGTATACAGGATCATTTATTTACTTATAATTAGAAACCAACTGAGTTACTTTAAACGTTAACATAAATGGTCCTCATCCTCAGAATGCTGAAATCACAATATCAGCAGAGAATAGAGTATGCCAGATTTCGGAACTTTTCATTGTGAAAGTAATAAACAAGCCGATGAAATATCAATTATTATTGTTAATATTATTATCATCATCATCATTATTTTGACTTTATTATTACAAACCATTGACATCATTAACCATTAAGAATATTGGTGCATTAATTATTTTATTGATTTTTTGGTTTAATACTCGTTTAAGATTTTAATAACAACACAAACACGTGTTAGTAAACTTTGTTTCACGTGAGTATCTATCGTGATAGTTTTACCAAAATAACTGCACACTTGTTAAAATACCAATTTTGTAAATAAACTAACTACCAACATAACAGTCAATACACTATGTGATTATTGATCACATTACTGGAAATATAAAAGTGTAAATAATTAAATATTTGTAATGAGATTAGTTACAATGAAGAAACAACTAATCACAGGTATTTCCGATGATCATGGTGACATTGTAATTAGTGTATGAACACACAATATGTACCAGTAAAGTTTTCAACAGAGTGTTGTTAAACCGAATAGGAATTCCAGTAGATGCTCGACTACGAGATTAACAGATCAGATTCCGTTTGATCGCGTATCGATCTAATCGTGACAACACGAATTACTGTTTAACAATCAACTAAATGAAACTCATCACCGGACATCACCTTCTTGGACTGTGAGAACGCCCATGATAACATTAACAGGAAAACCTTACAGAACCTAGGAATATCGTCACCAGCACATGGGATTGTTATGACGAGCTACATTGCAAACTCTTGCATAAAGGGAAGCTCATAAACTGATGCCAAATGAAAACCGCTGTCGGACAAGGTTGCTTACTCTTACTCTTTCTCTTTTTTCTGGTGGTTGCCTGGAATATAAAAGCTTCAACATCTTGGGAGAAACAAGAGATACAGTGGACAGCTCGGATGTAGCTAGACGATTTGGACTTCTCCGATCATCAAACTCTTCTGTTCCACATGCAACAGCAAAAGCAAGTGAAGACGGCCAGTGTGGCAGCAGACTCTGTAGCAGTAGGTATCAACATATACAAGGGAAAAAGCAAGATCCTTAGACATAAAAAGGAAAGCACAAACCCAATCTCAATTGATAACGAAGCTCTAGAAGAGATGGAAACTCTTAAGTTCCTGGACAACGTCTATGATAGACAGGGGAGATTTTATGCGGACGTGAATGCACGGATTGATAAAGCGAGGGAGGCATTTCTAAAACTGAAGAACATCTGGAACACATGACAACTTTCAGCCAACACCAAACGTCAAGACAGTTTCATTATATGGAGTTAAAACTTAGAGAACTACTACTACTGTCATCGAAAAAGTTTAGGTGTATATACTAAGCTGCATACACAAGACACCTCAGATATGCTGACTAGACACCATCAGCAACAAGCTGCTGTGGAAAAGAAGAAACTAGCCTTCAGCTGAAGAAGAAATTGGGAGAAATTGCTGGAGTTGGATAGAACACACATTGTGGAAATCATTAAACTGTGTCACGAAGCAGAGATAGATAAAGAGAACACGTTGAGAAGGGAGTTAGAGTCAGACATCAAAAGAGTAAATAGCACTTGTGAACAGTGAACAGTGAAAAGAAGATCCCAGGATACGGTGGGTTGGAGACTATCAATCGGCTGCCTGTGCTCCAAGTGAAATGAGTTCACTGAATTACCGAGTTTCATTTCTGTTTAATTAGAGCATAGTATACTTAAATAATCTTTTCATGAGTGCTTCACCGCAGTCGCTCATGAATGATCGTTAATCAAAGACACGATAACAATGAAAAATCCATTGTTCACGTGAAATAAAATATACGTATTCAATTTTAAACTAAGCTCTTATTTCTCGAATTTTAAGGAACTTAGATTATGTTGTAAAAAATGTAATCCTTTTGTACAAGGTCATCATATTTGCTACAGTGCCTATATTTTAAGCCCTTTAGTAATTAGCAAGATCTTGACTTTGGTCTGTCGCCAAGCAACAATGAATGACATGTTGTGCAAAGTTCACTACTGAAGGAATTTTACCAAGGACGTTTACAGTATGAATACTATACGAAATAGTGAATTTGTATGATAAACGGCTGAACGAAAATTTCACCAGTCCTTGAACTCAGTTTATAGACTGGTTAGCACTCACTAGGATTGTTAAAACTGATGGCTATATTGTTATGTATCGATTTATATAACTCAGTTAGCACGGTGGCCTAAATGGAATGAAATTAATTAATACTTTACGACTGATCAGTGTTCTTCAAGTCAGTTACAGCGCAATTAATTGAATGCTAACCTTTCTAACAGCTACAATGACATTTTCTGATCATTTAGGAGGTTTCGATAAATTCAAGTTTTCACATACACATGAATGATGTGTCCGAATCAGGGTAAAATATAGAGCTAAGGCTGTTTTTTGGTTATCCTAGTCATCTTACATGATAAGTGTTAGTACGCCTTCTAGAAGTTTCACTTCACTTGGAGTTCCGGGAATAAGAATAGTGTCCTATATAATTTACTCATTGACTTACCTTCGCCTGTTGGCCCCAATGGAGCATAGGCTGCCGACCAGTGTTCTCCTATATAATTCCCAAGCTGTAAGTTGAATAATCCTCGCTAGCTTATATGTCACAGTTACGAGTTACTGTACACCTTGTAGTGATGCAGACCATTTGGCTCAGCAGTTAGATTTTGCGTCAAACAAAGAGTTATCTTGGTGCAGAGTTTTGGAGGTTATCACTTTTTATCGACTTAAAGAGGGATATCATTTTTGTCTAAGACTTCATGCAAATAAAATAACCTCATTTTTCAAAGTTTGGTAAAATACTCCTATGGATACTTATTATGTTCTGTGGATACAATTGTCAGCTTTCCCCTATATAATGGAATAAAAATGACTAAAAGGTTGGATGTAAGAAGGAAGATAGGACTGAAGATGTGAATTTATCTACGCACCAGTGAAAAATCCACAACTGATCAACCACTTATTGACGGTTGACTTTACAGCACTCTGAATTACTTATAGATTAACCAACGGGTTTATTTGCAGATTTTCTTATAGTGAACAAGGCAGTAGCTGATATAAATTAATCAGTAACCAAGTAAATGCATACGAATCACAATGATGGTAGATTTATGTGCGTTGACCAACAGTATAGCATATTACTGACTTGCATATTTACTTCTTTCTGAACACATGAGGCGTCTTTGATGGATGCCAGCAGGTGCGTAAACACTTAGAATTGCACTATTTTCTTTTCTGATTTTAGCTGATTCATCATTCGAAGAGATTAACAATCTCTCATAAAACCAAACGTTGAATAATGGTGATTCAATGAAATTAGAGGAGAGGACAAAACACAGAAAAACCACACTGACAGAATTTCATTTGAATTCCAAGCATTTAGCAGATTAAACTAAGGTCTATATCTTGAATTGATTTGATTGGTTCGACAGTAACAATAATATATTATAATATCAGCATGACTAAGATTTACACTCTTTCAAAACTGGAAAAATTAAATTCCATGACGCTTTACAGACGATAATAATTCTTATCGAATAGTGAACTTTTGTGAAGTTATAAGTCGAATGACAATAACAGCCTATTCTTTCTATCGTAAAAACTCCGATAAAGTAGATTAGGATAAAATCAATATTTTAGTTCACCAGTTTATGATTATAATAACAGAAATTCAAAAACTTGTAGTAAATCCACTTTTATGAGGAGAAGACGATTGGTTTGATAAAAACATTCATTATTATAACCAACTGTACCAGTGATTGTTTAACTGTACCTTTTGTTTATAACAAGCGTTCTTCGTGTGTTGCTTCCAATTCCGCTCCAACCTCTCAGTAGTTTTGTGCCTATTTTCTGGCACGATTTCGGTATTCTTTCGAAGCCACGTAATCGCCAGCAAATATATCCTTTACTACAGAATAACCCTTCTTCCTATGACAGGTTCGTAATTACTGTAGTGGTGATCACAGTCATTCGCGACTCGATCGCTACTACAAGCCAACGATGCTTAGAAAATTGATTGCGTTTTAAATGACGGGGTAATACAGCCAAAAGTAAGTCAAAACTTTAAAAGGTAATCGGTAAAACGCACGAAATTACAGTGTGTTGTGCAAACAGTAAATAATCTAATAAATAGTGAAGGAGTAAAGAAGTTGGAATTCGATAAATTCGTTTACTGTGAGTTTTCTCACTGTGAGTTCAAACATTATATCAATCTGTGTTACGCATGCGCGTAAACACATCATTTGATATATTTTAACTAATACGAGTTTACTTGAGTCAGAAAAGGAGGGCGAGAATCGAGGATCCGGTGACACGACATGCTGCTCAAACCCAAGGGTCAGAACCCCTCATTGAGTGTATGAAGAAGAATTGGTATGAGGTAGAACCCGTATTCTGCAAGCACTCAGAAAGTACGAGGTCCGATTCCAGAAAAAAGTCAGGACCCCTGACTAGGATCCTGGTCCGGGTCATAAAACGTTACAGATAATGCTTGTTTATACAGTTAGGTCGAATAGGAAACAACATTGAAGTCTGTGATATTAACACTTAGGACGACTAATAAGAAACGACATTGAAGTACGTGACATTGATAACTAGGATGACCATAATATTTACCAGTAGGAAAGAACCAATAGGAATTGGCCAATAATTCTCTTAGAATATGGGATGAATATACTAACAATCTGAATACCTACAACATCCGATGCACATTAATGAATACAAGCTCAGATAAGAATAATACGAGAAAATAAAATGAACAATCTTAAGTACTTTAGTTGTGTCCATCACACTGCCATTTTTGACAAAATTGATGGACTTGAGCTTTACACAGATATCATCTGATCTTTGATGTCCATAAAGGGGGATGCTTACGACCAAACTAATTATTTCCTTCGTAACAGTCACAGAACAGATATTCTCCACAAAAGTATGTCATTTAGTAAATGCATATGGGTGCAATAAATCATGCCCTTATAGGGGGTTTTATAGTTATTGAAAACTTGATACCGTTAGAATGGTGGTTTTATTCTGACTATAGACGCAATAACAACTAGGCTGGTGTATAAAACAAGGATTAAATCAAAATGCTTGGTCCACACGATTAATGGCCAACTAGGTAATAATACTGCACAAATAAAAGGTTACTTACAAACTGTCTCATAATAAAACGGGGTCGAACAGCCCTACAAACTGCAACTTAAAAACACCATTGTCAAGTGTAAATCAAAAAGACGAGAAATGTGGCATTCATGTTTAGGGAGTTGAAGACGCGAATAGCTCTCAAGAAATAACCAGCTTTTCAGATCATTTACACTGATGATGAGATTGATAGTTGTAAGGCGCATCACCAACTGAAGGTACCCACAAGATAAAAATTAAAAACTTCAAGAAAGGGTTGTATAAATATAGAAAAAACTAAGGAGAGGATGAGATTTTAGAATGTCCTTCAAGGAGTGGTCCTTTACATGCCATGGGAAGTCCGTGATTCTCCCAAAGTTAGTCGTTTTTTGTCGATGGTCGAATGCCAACGATCTTTCGTTGTGCTAGTTGTCGGAGTTTGTGCCGTTTGTGCGATTGGAAGGTCGACAGAAATGGGGTTTTCTGCGAAATAGACGGCCTTCAGTTACTCGATGCTGACGTTGCCTTCAGATTCATTCTTATCAGATTTATGGTTCTTTGGTTCGCGATGGAGGACTTCATGGGGTTCTTTGTATGCAGCTTCAAGTTCAGATATTCTGTAAAGTGTGCACTTTCTCGTACGCTGGGTGTTACGAAGATGCCAGCTGACCACATTCGAATATAAACAATTTTAACGAGACAGATTGATTTTGTAAGCCTCTTCTTTTTAAAGTCTAAATCTAAGTTCATTTGAGTAGATGGAAGGGTGAAAAATTCAACAGGGAGTCAACGTGTAGTGACATAAACGAGTTTGGTTCCAGTGCATCCAAAGTCGGCTTTCACACAGTCGAGAAGAGTGTCAGTCTGTAGTGATGCGTTCGTAGCTGAATGAAAGGCTTCCGAACGTGGAATTTTTCTACCAGACGGTTAGCTTGGGCATGATAGTTAATCGTTCGGAACCATTCTATTTCCAGAAATGTATTATGACAGTGGAAAATTTGGGATTCAAAACGGCGATCCAGTTTGCTGCCCATAGTTCGAAGAAGACTCAGGGTATATACTTGACAGGTACTTTTGGACATCGTGTGAGACCATCCACAGACTTTCGGAGGTAATAGTATCCATTTTAATCCGGAGATAGTCCTACCAAGCTTAGACGAACGTAGGTAAAGAGAGTATCAGGGTTTGAGAAAGTGTCTAAGCGAAATTTGTGATACCTGAAGATGAGCAAAGCGAAAAAGTTACTGGTCGATAGTCTGTTTGTTAGGACGTGAAATTAAACAGTCATCAACTAAGCACACACATAGCTGAGACTGCCAGAAACGTTACCAAATAAAAAGTTTGAAACTGAAAGGCATCAATAATAATTTGACTAATCTACTGAGAGAGATGATAGTTGCTTTAGGCGTGTCTTTCACAGACAAAAGCATTCGGTTAAGCTCTCTAACGAAGAAAATTTCTAAGACAGTTGTACCCTTCAAGGTAGCTATTGACTCTTGAACTTGAGATAACAGTTAACAATCACGTATCGCTGATAATCAGTAGTTGAACTTTAGTCATTGCTATTATCTTTGGTAATTGTATACGAAGATGTCCATGAAGTGTATGATGGTGAGATAATGAGAATTTGGAGAAAATTTATATCTCCGGTGTACGATTAGGGTGTGGTTTCATAATCTGAACTGGGTGTGTTTGGTTGTGGAGCTTTCATCTCTAAATCTATCAGGCGAAAATTCCGTTTTTTTGGCTAGCCTTGGCTTTTCAAAGCCTGGTTTCCGGGTTTTTGAGAATATTGTTCATCCTCTGTTCGTAACGTTATTTCAACACTGGTGGTTACACATGATAACCGCAGTCATGCATAGCTCAGAGTTATGGTTGAAAGAACTTATTTATTTTATGTTTGATAGTTACTGCTCGAAATCTAGAACCGGAGAACGAAACTCCAGAAACAGGTAATTTAATAAGACTTTTTACCAACCTCCGTTGGCTTGAGTCGACTGTTAGATTACGGTGTTGCTGCAGGTCTACACGAATGATCGACACTGTCACCAACCACAACGAAAATCCAGTGAATGGGTCCGAGTAAAAACTCGTGAAGCTAAGTTTGCCATTTGCCGCGACTTCCAGAATCCGAAAGGCAGATTTAGTTGGTTTATCCATGGCATTATTTTTAAATAAAACCACTTCATCTTTTAACTGTCAAGGAAGTTTGAAAGGAAAATTTTGTCGGAAACGCTTCTCGTCAAAAGTTCATCGGCCAATGATCTCTCATACGTAACTATATTACTGTTACTGAGCCTTGTAACAGCTCGATGTTGTGGAAAATTTGGTCCAACCTTTGTCGAAAAGACAGATTTAGGAATCGCCTTTTTAAGGTGTTGCAGTGCTCGAAAATATCATCAATAAACATCATCAATAGACATTGCTACAGAGAGGAACGAAGCAAGTGGGTCTGAAAGCTGCGTTCAGTCTGCACATTTGGGCACTTGTCAATGGATTATATCAGTTCACGATATGACTAGATCTGGATTATTGTTCATTGTATTCAACTGTATGTGTCGTTGCTACAAAGCTACAACTAAATACGGCTAAAAGTGACTTTTAATGTTTGAATCTAAATACACTTTTTCGAACAAGTAGCATAGCTTTTACTCCCAGAAAGAATTCGACTCTTGAGGATGACTATATGTTGAAACAATCTGAGAGGCTTCATATAAATCCAAAAACTCAAGATGTCCTCATGATTAGAGTCTTTTAGACCATACCTTCCTGCAGTTCTCCATTGTTCTTCCCATTTGGTACTAGATATGTAGAAATAAACGTATAATTGCCTTAAGATTTAAGAGCTTGTTGACCAAAAGTTACCTTGTTAGCTTGTAGTGGAACACTTATATGTAGGAAACGCGATTCGTTTTTAACTTTAAAAGCATGTAAAACATCTCACTTCAAAATTTTACTATGAATCCTTGGAAACGTACGAAATAAAAGAATGCTACCGCGAAACAATCATGCAGTTCATATATCTCGTGAAAACGTTTTTACATTGGATACAGAAACAAGTAAGATCCGGCTTAATAAATCAAACGTAAGATAGCTGTTCTCCCTGAAATCGTCAGATGACTGTCGTCCTGTTTTTGAATTCCTGCGTTACAGTTACTTTCTGTCGAAGGCCATTTACATCCCAAGGTCACCTGTGTATTGTCGCGCACGTGTGGTTTTCAAATGTTTCTTTTAAACAGAGGCTTAGAATGTGGCCAAAAAAGTATAATTACCACATATTATTTGATTATTAACACTTAAGCTAGTGTCTATTAATGATTTGATGTATTTTTATCTCTCTGATGGTGCGCAAATGTAATTCAATTATGCATAACATAGTGTTTCGTTTCATTTTAGCCAGGTAATTTTCTATATTACCCAAATACATTTTTTATACTTTGGAAGTATGAATAATTTGTTTCATTTATTTTGATAAAGAGGACATTTACTTTAATTGTAATATAATTTACGATTGCAATAAAACTATACTATAATTTTAACCTCAAGCGTATCCATCAGAATCGAGATAGCGCATTATGAATTTTTCGTGAGTTACAAAACGCATATATCGATCATTCTCATGGTTTTCGTGCTAGATACTCACTCAACCGCTATGCGTAAATCAGAAACTTAGGAAAATGAAATAAAGCCCTAATTTTATTTCATGGGAAGTGTTATTTTACCTACTGGGAATGTGTATTCTCCAAGTTTTATCTAGGAGGCACCATTTTGACGTAGTTCTTGGTAACGAGTAATCTACCCATCTAGTTTTTCAGGTGCGTGCATAATCTCTTATTAAGAATTCACTTAGTGGCTTTAAGATTTATTTTCTAACAGTGACACGCTTTAAGTTATGGGGATTTATAAAAGTATGGTTGAGTCTACTACTGTATTGTCATTGAAAGCCATACGCTTGCATTAAACGTCATTAGTAGCCACCAATGTATCAGTCAGTCAGTTACAACGTAGAACTTTGTACGTAAGTACATCAGTTCATGTTGCCATACCACATTAGCACAGGAACGCAATTGTCAATTAAATTCCAATAATGGTAGAGATAGCAGAAGAATTACTGCTAGTGGAGAAGATTAGGATTTGAAGAAAATATTCAAGAAGTATAGTTCAGTGAGATAAGTTTAGAAAGACAAAGGTACAGGTGTTGACGAATCCGGAAGATTAGGATTTGAGAAAACAACGAGTGGATGCACTTGCGCCATCACAAACGATTTTGAGCCATGTCATTCAAGGTCTCTAACCATCGGTGACTTTTGTCTCGCGAATCCCAACCAGGTAGCTTACATCTACTGATGAAGTTTCACTACTTCATCTATTGATCTGCCATCCTTATCTAGTACTCGTATCCTAATGGCAGCATTGCTTACTCGGGTGTCCTACGATACACGAGCAATGCTTCTAAGAAATCTGTGATCGATTACTAGTAACCTACGAATATCTTATACTCTTACGGCCATCTTTCGCATCCATATAGGAGAACGGTGCGAACTGCTGCACAGTACACTCGACCTTTGGTTAGCAAACGGATATCTCGTCTGTGTCATAAATGACGCAAGTTGGCAAAAGCCAATCGAGCTTTCTGTATCCGTGTTGAGATTTCGTCAGTCACCAGGCCATCAGCACTGATATGACTCCTGAGATAAGTGAAGCGGTCAACACGCCTGACTACTGCACTGCCTATCACTAGTTCAGGTGCCGATACAAGCCAATACTGAAGCAAAATTTTGCATTTTGAGGGGGAGAATTTTATCCCTAACATGCTTGTTTTGTTGCCTAAGGCGTTCAGGAGACTGCATTATATCAGCCTCCACCGAATCTAGCCGTTATTGGTATACTCTAAGTCAACACGTGAGTCTCCTGGTAGAATGTCCACTCCTGGAAACTCAGATGAAGAAATTGCGGTATCTAGCAGCATGTCAATGAAAAAGTTAGACAAGAATGGATAAAGTGGACAACCCTAACGGACATCACTTGAAGTAATTAATTCCGATGACAGTTCACCGTATGCTCTCACTCGACAAGTAGTATTCGAGTAGAGAGCCTGTATAAGTTTATGTACTTCTCTGGCTAAGGCACAGACGGACATACAGATACAATGCAAAACTTCGTACATAAGTACATCAGTTCAGGTTGCCATACCACATCAGCACAGAGACACAACTGTCAGTTCAAATCCAAGAGTGATAGCGATAGAAGTATTAGCATTAATGGAGAAGATTAGGGAGCGAAGATATGATTCGAGAAGTATAATTCAGTAAGATAAATTTAGGAGGAGAAAGATAGAGATTTTGCGGAATTCATAAGGTTAGAATTAGAGAGGGCACCAAGAGTGGATGCACCTGCGCCATTGCAAACGATTTTGATCCATGTCATTCAAGGTCTCTAACCATCGGTGACTTTCGTCTCGCGGACCCCAACCAGATAGCCTACATCTACCAACATGATTCAGTCCACTTGTCAATGACTTCATGGATTTGTGCCATGTTTTGGTTTGACCGCCCCTAACTTTCTTCCAACCTACTCCTACACCAGAAAACATAGTTCGTCGCGGCAGTCGGTGGTTAGCCATACGTAACATATGTCCCATCCACCTTAACTGATGAATTTTCACTACTTCATCTATTGACATGCCACCCCTACCTAGAACTCGTTTCCTGGTGACAGCATTGCTTACTCGGTCGTCCCAGGATACACAAGCAATGCTTCGGAGACATCGAAGACTAGTAACCTACGAAAGTCCTCTACTCTTAACGGTCATGTTTCGCATCCGTACAGTAGGACGGAGCGAACTGCTGCACAGTACACTCGTCCTTTGGTAAGCAAGCGGATATCTCGCCTGCGCCATGGGTGAAGCAGGCACAAGACATTATACGTAGCTCACACTCTATGAATTGATGAAGATTGTTTTAAAAGTTCATCGGTTAGGGCCACAATTTGAGAAAAAAGGTGTAGATTAAGTTTAAATTATAGATCATTAAGATAGAATAAGTACGGGATTCTGAATTGATTGTGGTTCCTGTGATAAAGAATTAGTATATTTGCACTATAGGGATTGTGTTAGCGGCATTCCAGGTTAAAATTTATAGTTTCAACGACTCTTTTCATCACCCCTGTACCCACTTACGTTCCTGTAGTTAATGAACAGATTCTTTCGATAGTTTTATGTTTTCTGTTAAATTTCTCTTCCCGAAAGTGTAGTCCTGGCGCAATTCATTTCACTTCTTGAAATCAGGCACTGGCTTTGAAAACATAACACCAGTTGGTATTCACGCCCACACTATTAATATAATTGAAACTTTTTTCCTCTATGTGTGTCAAGCTACTTCATAGAAAACGGTGCGCTCCTACATTTCATGCTTTCCCACCACCCAAAGTTTCAAATTATTTGCAAGAATTCAATTCGTTTGCAAGTTGTCAAGTGTTTCGTCAAATGGGTCAATCTGAAATTATGTATATGATTAGAGGGGCGTTTTTATCTTCATTTGCCCTTAAGTTTTCATAATAGGTTTGAGAATCTCAAATGTTTCATGCCGTCCAAAAGCTTTCTGAAATTCAGGTCATATAAGTTAGTTCACAACTATGCGGACCAGTTGGCTAGCTGGTGTTTAAAGATTAAAAAATATTGTTTGATATAACCTAACCTAATATTTTTGATTACTGCTAATGCCGCTACTTCCTCTATCACTATGGGATTGAAATTGTCAGTCCTATCTCTCAGTGCAAATGCGGTATCGCAACTTAAACTTATGTACGTACGTACCAAGTTTTACGATGTAGCCGAACTAGATCATCACATGTTTGGTTTATCTATGTCTGACTATAGGTAGTTAGTTATGCTTCATCTCACTGAATGGGTCCACTCACCTCACTTCACTGTGTTTCGCTTCGCATTTACGGATCGCATCCTTTTTTCTGTCTGTTTAAACAAATGTATGGAATGAATCAGTCCATAAAACCGTATCGGGCTCTTAGTAATTACCGTCGCACAAATGGGGTTCGCCTAAGAATGATATACGGAAATTAGATGAAGGGTTTATCTCATAAGTTGTGTAATCGTTGGTCCAGATTGGAGTCATGTCCCAGGCCACCCATAAAGTAAAATGAAGTGAACTCCCTTGACAAACAAGCAGTTCATCATGTAATCGATATAGTGGTTTACTAACTGGTTTTACATTGATTACCAAACCTACCCAAAAATTTCGCTGATTTAGATTTTAAATTATATCCACCTTTAAGCATCCTAGACAGATACATACTTTCGCAAGCTCCACTTTCTAAACGTTCTAGGTCCATTACTTTTGTTAACTTCACTTACTACTTAAATGGACCCTTGTGTTTAAAACTATTCAACTTCATTTTGAGTTTTTATTAGTTAACGACGGTTTATTTAACATTTTTAGGAAATGAGAATCGACGATATAAAATTTATTCTTTTTTGGACTATGGTTATGCATCAATACACGATACAATGTGATGTCGCTTATATTACTTACTGTCCATGTATGGGTACGTTTTGTGTTATAATTACTTGTATTTTAATAGGTCGGCTTGGAAATCAGATAGAACAGTTCCTAGGTATGATTGCATTTGCCATTAGAGTCAACCGTACACTTGTCTTGCCTCCATGGAATATTATGTCGTCTCTAGAGGCTGTAAGTTTTTACTGTCATTGTAATATTCACCAGAATTTCGTGCCTTTTGAAAACCTATTTAACATCACTACACTTTTATCAGTTCACCAGTTTATTTCACTGGAAAACTTCATGTTGAATAAAGCTCCTATCATCTGGCCAGCAACTAAACGTACAGGTACTTTTTAAAAACTATTTTACATTTATAAGCAATATGCTTTCGACCTAGACCTGGTCCTTTATTTAATGATTGTAATGCTAAAGATGGAAATCCTTTCAAAGAATTTTGGGATAGGTTTAATATCAGTTTTATAAGCTCTAGTTTCTACTTTCCTTTAAGTACAGATGATTCTAAAGAAGAATGGGATCGGTTGTAAGTTGCATAAAGTGTATTATAAATTGTTTTTGAAATATAGATTTCCCTCAGAAACTTACCCAGTTCTTGCATTTGTTGGACCACCTTCGTCTTTCCCTGTTCGTCCTGAAAACCGTGTATTCCATCGTTATTTAGAATGGAACAGTTATATTAATGTAGTCACTGAGAATTTTATGCATCGATGGTTAGATAAACCTGCAGTTGGAGTTCATTTAAGAAATGGAGGGGATTTCGTGAGTTATATTTTGTTTATTCCAAGTACTAAGCATGTTATCGAAATTCTCAACTTACGGTTCTAAGTACATATCTAAACACCCGGAACAACTGTTAAGAGCTCTGGCGTCGTCAGCCAAGTTATATTTTATCGTAAATTCTCACCTTGGTGTAATAGATAATCTATAAATTTTATTGTGTACTTAAAGAATTAAGAGTAACGTTTATGCATAATCCGTGTACCCAGAAATAACACCAATAATCTTTTCTTATCATGGCGTATATTTATTTTGAGTTATTATATTAATTTCTCTGTACAAATTATTAGGTTAGCTGTATGATTGTCTGGTAAACTATGAAGTTGTGTGTTGAGATTTTTTCCAATCTTTTGATGTTTGCGAAGTAGAATTATTGGCTATTGGAAAGCTGCTTAAGTTATAGCACAGTATACTAACTTTCATACAGTCTTTGAGTTGCATTAAACCCAGATGTTTATAATTGTTTACTTGTGTATATATCACATTAATTTCTAAAGCAGAAGTAGCTCCCTTAGACTAGATCCAAGCCGACAGTCACTTGTGTGCTGTTCGACCAAACGGGACAATAAGGGCTCGGAAAGATAGGGATATGCCGTCGCCTCTTCGTTGTATCTGCCTATGCTCCCGCTGACTGCAGCACAGATGAGATAAAAGATGAGTTTTACAGGAAGCTTTCGGATCTCCATCATAATGTTAGGCGCTCTGATGTAGTAATAGTGGTGGATGACTTAAAGCTCAAGCAAGTTGACTGAGTGAGAAGGAAAGATACCTTGGTGGATCTTATGGTGTCGCGCTGATCAAACAGACAGTGGCGACCGTCTTCCGCAGCCATGTTCAAACAATCACCAATTTCTAGCAAATACTTACTTCGAGCACAAGGCTAAACATCTTTTAACATGGCGACCCCCAAAGTCGTCACAACGCTAGCCCCAACTAGATCACATCGCTATCAGCCACCGATGGAGAGGCTCGATCAAAGACTCGCTATTTTTGGAGCAAATGTTTGAGTTTAGACCATACTCTAACGCGAGCGCGTATTTGTTTACGTCTTACTGGACGTAGGAAAGACACCGCAAGGAAACCTGTTAGGGTTTTACTTAATGATAGCATAGTTAAGAATATATTTCAGGAGCAACAGTTAGGCAACCATATTTAGAATATCTGTTTTATTAAAAATAATGGAATTATAACTCATTGATTTAGAAAAGCAAATCCTCAGTTTATCATTCCTATCGTTATCCCACTGTTGAGAAGACGAAATAAAACAATTTAACCTTTACTTTTATTATACACATACACTAGTTAAATGCTTGCTCACATTTGAAACGTGGTCTACATAACTTGTTCTCAAGCGCTCAGTGCCATGGCGATTTCAATGAATTTCCTCCTCATAGAGTAACAGAAGATATGTGCATCCCCTCAAAAGAATTAATTCTTCAAACAATTTCATTTGGTGTTCGTTTAGTTAAAGCGAAAAGCATTTATGTATCAACTGATAATGATCCTATGTTATCACTAATTCGCAATCACCTTAGTAATACAACTGTGAGTGAAGAGATTTCATTTATTTTCATGAATGTTAAACTTCCTTAGACTTTTAAATGTATAGAAGGTCAAAGTGTTTTTATATAATTCTTTATATTATCTGGTGTATTTGCAGTAACAAGTATTTTTGTTATGCTCGTCAGTTAATTTTTGTGCTCATTGCAGAAGCCATTCTTGTCAGGGTTCTTGACCTGAAGTTTATATTATCAGAACTATTTGAATAGAGAAGTAAGAAGACATATTTTGTGAGATAGTACCATTTCGTGCTTTCTCGTCAGTCACATACAAGCAACATGTTATTTGTGTAAATACAGTTTTGAAGATAAGGTCAAAATTTCTTATTTAGCATGACATTCACTCACTAGAACCATGGTAAACAAAGGTCAACATACAGTTGTTGTTTTTGAACACATAAAGTTGGACTTTTACGACCAATCAAGATAGCTTCGAGTAGTTTCAGTGTGTGTGGGTTTTGATGACATGTCACAACTCTAAAGGCTGATTTTGGGTCAATTTGATGACCACTCATCATTAGATGTTTTGCAATGGACGAGGCTGGGTTTCTTGATCGATTTTGAGATGATGGGCTAGGTTGATGAAACATGGATTTGATTAGCCATTTTGGAATATGTTCCCCTATCCTGTCTTCCAATCGGCGATCTGTCCTCCCTAAGTAACTTTCTCCACAGTTACATGTGAATTGGTAAATACAGTGGGATTTGGACTGAATCGGTCTTGGAGACTTGATTGGGGTAACTGAGATCGATTGGGTTGTTGTGATAAGCCTCAGATTAGCTGCATTGAAGGTCTTTTTTATTGCAGCTGCAGTCTGTTTGGTTGTAATTTTCATGCAATGATCACCTTTGAAAGGTAACTGTAGGTACACTGGTTTCTTGGGCACATCAGTTGCTATCAACTTCGTCATAGTTGTGTTCTGATGACCAATAAACGTTTCGGGTTATCCGTTTGATTTAAGTGTGTCATATTACCACATTCTACAGACATTAATGAAATCAATGATTTATTTAATGCGATTCACCCGAATCTGAAAGTCACTTATGAGGAAGAAAAGAATAATGAACTAGCTTTCCTCGATATCCTGCTCCATCGCCGTCCAGACGGATCAACCAGACGAAAAGTACACCGCAAACCCACCTGGTCGGGACAGTACCTCCACTTCACTAGTTTCTGCCCCATACAATATAAACGTTCTGTTGTCAAAACTTTATTCGCTCGAGCAAGTAGAATCTGCACTGCTGATACATTGAACGACGAATTCAAGCTTATTACTGACACACTTATTGGTCATCAGAACACAACTATGACGAAGTTGATAGCAACTGATGTGCCCAAGAAACCAGTGTACCTACCGTTACCTTTCAAAGGTGATCATTGCATGAAAATTACAACCAAACAGACTGCAGCTGCAATAAAAAAGACCTTCAATGCAGCTAATCTGAGGCTTATCACAACAACCCAATCGATCTCAGTTACCCCAATCAAGTCTCCAAGACCGATTCAGTCCAAATCCCACTGTATTTACCAATTCACATGTAACTGTGGAGAAAGTTACTTAGGGAGGACAGATCGCCGATTGGAAGACAGGATAGGGGAACATATTCCAAAATGGCTAATCAAATCCATGTTTCATCAACCTAGCCCATCATCTCAAAATCGATCAAGAAACCCAGCCTCGTCCATTGCAAAACATCTAATGATGAGTGGTCATCAAATTGACCCAAAATCAGCCTTTAGAGTTGTGACATGTCATCGAAACCCACACACACTGAAACTACTCGAAGCTATCTTGATTGGTCGTAAAAGTCCAACTTTATGTGTTCAAAAACAACAATTGTATGCTGACCTTTGTTTACCATGGTTCTAGTGAGTGAATGTCATGCTAAATAAGAAATTTTGACCTTATCTTCAAAACTGTATTTACACAAATAACATGTTGCTTGTATGTGACTGACGAGAAAGCACGAAATGGTACTATCTCACAAAATATGTCTTCTTACTTCTCTATTCAAACTTATCAAAGGAAACCAGTGTTTCGAATTATCAGAACTAATTATTTTGAGGTTCTATCGAAGGGTCTTTAGCTACTTTCTGACGGACCTGCAATATTCGTTTTAGAGTCTTTTAACTGTCTAAATGGAATCACAGTTTTAATGTTTTGAGTTCCTCAAATTTTGTTCCAACTCAAAGTCGTTTGGGGAAAGGGAATTTACTTATTTGTAACTGCGAATCTTTTACACTTTTAAGTACGCATCCTTTGCTGATTACTAATTATTTGTCAGCGTATTTTTGACATAGTTTCCTGTTTATTGATTTTATTGTCTTTGCAATCAGTACTTATTGAAATCATGAATCGATCATTGCTGGACCACTATCGGAGACCTGGAAGCACTGGAAGGCTGGTCCATCTTAGTATGGGACTCAGCAGCAGTGCTCATCTTTGACCCCCCACTCGTGGGAATCAAACCCAGAACCTTTAATCTTGAGTGCAAACGCTTAACCTGTCGACCGCTGTGCCGGTATCCAACGGTATTAATGTCTAACTTTAATCAGTATATGATATTTCGCAACCTCATCCATTGTCGTCGGTAGGTAGCTGCCTACACCTGTCAAGGATGTACTCCACTGGTCACAACTTCTTACTCGAACTCCGAGAATTTCCTCGCGAAGCTAGTCCCTAGTAAGCAAATTTTAACGAAACTTACCAATCTCGACAACTCTATGATGAAAGTCGGTACTTTCTTATGAATGTAAATTCATTTGTAAATAATTATTAGGTAGAACACGTTGTGTGGAAACCTAATCGAAGACCTGAAGAAGATATGGCATTGTTAGGGCGAATCGATCTAGCAATTCTCAATTGTGTATCAACTTACTCTGTTTCAGTGAAACGTGAACGAGATGCGAAGAATCTACCTAGTATGTTTTTCGGATTAACTATTGAGAATCAAAGAGGTTTGGAAGTATTATGCAATTCTACGAATGAAGCTACAAACTATTGGTGATCTAAACTCCACAGAAAATAACTTCCTACTATATTTTATTTTATATTTTACACTTTTTAAACTTCATTGTTTGCTCGTTGATATTTTTATCACTATTAAACTTGCATTTAAATAATAAAATTTGGTGTAATTTATGTCGCGAGGTAATATTTGTGAGAATGCACCTAGATCATGCATTTTTAGTGAAGGCACCAAATAATCATGTTACTTTAACCAATTTTTGTCAAGAAATATATGTAAAATGTAGGTCTATGTGGTCTACTGGATTTTGACGGGTATGATGTGACTTTGTTTACATTGAGATCACGCCTCGTGGCTAATATCTAACGTGGACAACTCTTACCTGATATTTGGATAGTATGGCTAATTTTTTGACCGTATGGAACAAACATGACGTCATTGAGGAGACGTAATAACAAGAATGTGTTAGACGGATAGTGCGTCGACTACTGTATGAGTCAGTCCATGTTGCGCAATTGACTAGTGCGCATCGGTTGTCTTTGACCTTGACGAGGCTTTATAGGCTTGAAAATTGTGATCTACTTGCTGGATGAATATGTTTAAGACTCAGTGACACTTCACGGTCCTTACAGTCATATCAACATTAGCTTAGGTTAGCCAAAGCTGAATGACTTGGCCATCGTACAACCGGCGATAGTACACCATCAGAGTTAAGATGCTCGATAAACATTTTAGGGGGCAGGAAATCGGAATCACGTCTACTTTATCGGTTACAACTAGGTCACCTACTGCAAAAGTTCCAAGAAATTTTAGAATCTGATGATTAAGTTGACCTGGAAAAGTTCGCTGCAGTAGCTGACTTAATGTATGAACGCACCAAAACACCAACATCGTTCGCACAAAGCGACCAGACTACAGAACGTAGGCAAACAGGGAATGCATTAGTCTTACAGGTAGCACAACTACTAATATTATGGACGTAGCCTTGATATAATAGACCTAGTTACAGAGGTAGATCTAGACTCAGAATCAATACTATCTGACTGAATATTTGCTGCTATCACAACGGATTTAGCCCTAATGCTTGACGGTGCACAAAGCTACAAAGTGTTAATAGCCAGGAAAGCGTCATGGCCAACGATCAATGTTTGATGCAGCGGCATATTACAACCCCCAAGACAGTTGTCACGATTGTCACAGATGAGAAGACCGGGTCGCGATCTTATTGTCTCAGGGGTACAGATTAATTAGATATAACGTACTACACTCGCTAAATAAACCCCAACATTACACTCTTAGCCAACAGTTGTTTGCAAATAAACCTACAGCGGATGACAGATTGTTCGAAACCTAGGGTATAGTGTCTCATTCTTCCGAAAAAAATTATGGCCATTCTCTCGTCACCAATAATTGGTATTAATTTCGTACTGTCCAATGAGCTATGAGATGACTCCGTAAGTTGTAAAGTGGTATACACCATTCGAAACGTCGACATTAAAGGGAACATCTATGCGACTATCAATTAAGATACATTTTAGCGTCTACAAGCTGACCATTCTTTAGGAGCAATCAATTTTTTTACTAGCGGACTTAGGTCACAGTGTCGTATACCATTAAGAGACTAGGGAAGACAGGCCTTTGCTCGCTTGTGAGGTCTCAATCCCAGAGGTCTTACTGTTTCGAAACGGAAAGTAGACAAGATTTGAAATTAAGTGCCATCCATCAGCCGTTGTGCTAAATTTACTGCAAACAGTTCAGAAGAAGCACTGGACATTCAATACTGTGGGAACTTTTGAGTCCCTAACAGTTTGTGCCATTCTAGTCAGATACGCCTAATCGTAACTGTACGAATTTCATCAATAATTTTCTAGAAGTAGCTGTCTCAGAAGTCAACGTTATGAGAACATGCCTGAGAAATACAGCACAAACATTTTCAGCATTTTATCGACAAAGTCTTACGAGGTTTACCTTACGTATGTGCTTATTTGGACTCTTATCAATCGGAAAGAGTGGTAATTGCTGTCGTCAAGTGTGTTACTGATTCATTGCGCTTTTTAATCTGGTAATTGGTTAGCTTCGGTTTGATATACTAAGCATATACTGTCATCCTAATTGCACAAACTTCCACGACTTGTTAGTATCATAGAGTGTTATTGGTTTTCACCCAGTGTCGGGAGGATGTAGCATCCTTTGGAACATGTATTTTTGTGAAACGAGTCTTAACATTCAGACGCCATGCTAAACATTAAAATAAATAGTGTTAATAGGTGTGATCGATAAAATAACCCACCAATGATATTGTTAAACGCCCACCCCCATATCGACTCGCTTATACCTTGTATAACTATGCGTTGCTTACTGAATATCATATTTTATCTCTCATACACTATATGCAATCTGTTGACTCAGTTTTTCTATCCTCCAGTTACTATTCGGTACGTCTTTATATATATGTATAACTTCACCTAGAACCCCTCTGAGGTCACTGCTGACCCTAATCCCGGATAAAGAAGAGGGTTGGGCCTGAGGTTAGCGACCCCAACCCGTAGAAAACTAACTCGTTAGAAAACGCTTATCAGGAAAAATAGTTAAAGCCATTTAAATTCTGCCCCGGGAGTTGGAAAGTGTTCAATTAGAAGAGTTATGATGTCTCATGATGAAAGCGGAGTTTCTTAGGAAGTCACAAGGCCGATGCCTCCTCTCGCAATCAGAGCAACTTTTAGTTTCGGTACACGGAATGTCCATACATTGTATAAGATCGGGAGAACCACTCACGTTGCTGCGGAAATGCGAAGATGCAAGATCCTGACTGCGTAGACAGGATGAGACTATGGAGGCTACTTCAACACTGCAGTGTGCCTGAGAAGCTTGTTAACATTATACGGAATTTACGTGATGGATTGAAATTCAAAATCGTGCATGAAGGATACCTCACAGACTCGTTCCAAGTGAAGATCAGTGTCAGGCAAGGTTGCTTGCTCTCACCCGTTCTTCTGGTGGTCAACTGGGTTATACAGATGTCAACATCTGACAGGATGTATGGGATACAGTGGACAGCTATAATGCAACTGAACTATCTAGACTTCGAAAATTATCTGGCTTTTCTATCCCACACACAACAACAATTTCAGGAGAAGACGGCCAGTGTAGGAACAGCCTCAGCAGCTGTAGGTCGCAACATATGGAAGGCTAAAAGCAAGATTCTCCGATACAAAATCACATACACCAACTCAATCACATTTGACGGAGAAGCTTTGGAAGGTGTAGATACCTTTACGTCTAGCCGGCATCTTTGATGAGCATGGTGGATCTGATGCAGATATGAAGGGGCGGATTGGTAAGGAAAGGGCTGGATTGCCACAACTGAAGAACATCTTGAACTCAAAGAACTATCAACCAACACCAAAGTCGAAGTTTTCAGTACAAACCTCAAGGTATTTCTGCTGTATGGGGCGGAAACCTGGAGAACTGCAAGAGCCATCATCCATAAGATACAAGTGTTGATTAACAGTTGTCTACGCAAAATGCTTCGGATCCGCTGGTCAGACATCATCAACAACAACTCTCTGTCGAAGACGACAGACCAGATTCCAGCAGATGAAGAAATTAGGAAAATGTGCTGGAAGTAAGTTAGAAGAAGACTACGATAGTCTTCTGTATCTTTATCGTCCACTGAAGATGCACTCATACCAGCATAGGTTGATTATTTACGGTCCTGTGTATCAAATATTATCCCTGTTAATAGCAGTCTGTTAAAAATACTAAGTAAGATAGTTCTAGTTAGATAACTATCGATTCTCGACATGGCAGATTGGAAATTTCACTCAGTAAATCAAAACTAAACAAAATAACTGTTTATGATCACATTTTTCCGAATATGTTAAATGATTTGATGAGATTGAATCAACATTATTTCGCATTCCGCCTATCTCATGGTTATTTTCTTAGTAAACATATAAAAAACAAATTGTCTTCAGATGCGATAACTAAAAGCAATAAGTGCTTACAGTATAGTTGAAATATCATATCTAAACCGGTCGGTCACTCAAAAAACTAAATATTTACTTCAAGGCTAAAAACATAGAATTTGTAATGATAGGGATAGAACAAACCAGATTCCAGTGTAAAAAGAAATCAATTAGAAGCGCTAGAGGTGGATAGCCCACACATTGAGGACAGCAACTAACTGCACCACAAGTCAATCCCTAACTTGTAGTCCTCAAGACCAAAGAAAGAGAGGAAAACCAGAAAGTATATTACGCCGAATATCGGAGACGGACATGGAAAGAATGAAGAACAATTGGTTAGAAGTGGAAAGGAAGGTCGAGGACAAAGTAGGTTGGAGAATTCTGGTCGGCGGCTTATGCTCTACTGGGGGTGGTAGCAGGCGTATTTACGTATGTGAAGTACATTTTATGTCTCTTTATCGGATTATTCATTCCTGTTTTTTTCACATTAACGGAGTTAATTTACATTTTAGAGACAGATAAAGTTAATCAAGCTAAATAGCTGACTTATTCTGACTGGTCGAGCTAAGACTCCATGTTCGAAAATCTAGGAGTTGCCTTGGAATTTCATCAGCAGGTTCTTACTTCCTAAAATGTTATCAAGTAAACTTTTATTGTAATAATTAGAAACCTTGTTTATATATTCCATGAGAGTTCACACAGTTATCAACTTCATGTTAGTACAATTTCCTCTAAACTGTTAAGCTAATCATGTGTGTTGTAACAGCCTTTGTAGTAAAGTTAACATCGGAGCACATCCGGTTCACTTAGCATCACTAAGGAATAGGATCCAGACTATTCGTTTCGGGAAAATGAAACTAATTTTTCCTCAGATATTGTTAGGAACGCGGAATTTTGTTAATGGTGTCCGACATACCTACACTATCAGTTTTCAGTCATTCGTTATCACCAGGCTGATTCGTGGGTGCATCGAAAATATTTTGCAAAAATGTGGCCTTTCAACTCATTATTGCGATATATGAACTGTTATAATAATTGGGTTTATTTCAAAGCAGTACCAGTAACCCAAAAGTCACATTTTCATTAACAGCATATCGTCTATACGAGAAGCTCATCCGACTGAATAGTTACTGGAAGTCACTTATTGGGAAAGAAAAAAGTCGTTTGATGTAGTGTATTATCGATAATAGTAATTGACTGTAGTGGACATGCGTTTTATATCACAGATCTTTGGCGATAAATTTCTATAAAAGGCAACGTCTCAGGGGACGGAACTCTCAGAAAAATACCCAATACACGC